CCATATGCAATTGTCGCAATCACCTGCGCCATGCCCATGAGCCCCATCATGTCTAGCGGGGAGACAAGCAGGGTTAACGATTTGGACCGGGTGAGTCCGACAGTGATTCTGCCGAAGCAGTCTTCGGTATCTTCTGTAGGGGAGCCATTGGAGTAGTATTTGGTGTTTAAAAATCCGATACTTGGCTGAGCTACGATTGATACCTGTGCTGTTCCTCCTGCTGAGTTGGCTATTGTTTCTACGCGCAGGGTGCGGACATAATCCTTTTTGAGCACGGAGCGGTTCAAGTTGTTCTTGTGATCTGTTGCCGTGGTCATTACAAAAAGTCCATCTGCAAATCCAGCATTGTGTGGGAATGGGTGGAGTACCTCTGAGACGAGCGTTTCTAAATCTGTTGCTACTAGGCCATTAATTCTAGCATTTGTGTCCCAAAGAACTAATTGAAACCCTGGTGGTCGGTCAGGGAGTCCTCCAGAGGCGAAACTTCCCAGCTCCCACAGGCCGTTGATACATTTGCATAGGTCGGGGTACCGAACTGCCACAACTGAGTGGTATGTCACAGGACTGACTCTTGAACTGGAAGGAAGCATCAACCCCCAGGCATGGATGTCGCTCACTCCGGCGGTCTGAGAGTTTAAGACTGCTTGGATGTCACCAGCCATCGGGAGGAGGGTGGCGGCGTGCTGCAAGATCCAGGCAAGGCGTACCAGGGATCGCGGGAAGTTGACTGTTGTGCCTTCCAGCAGTTCTGCGTCCACAAAGCGGGAGTGCCGTTGCTCATGTGGCTGGGCGGCTTCAAATTGGGCTCTCAGGCCTGGAAGAACAGTGTTGGCTGCTCTGAGGTCTTCCGTATCTTGTGGCGAGAGATGGCTTGTCCATAGCTGACCTAACGTGGGCTGGCCTCGTTTGAGGATTTGACTGAGAGTAGCTAAGCCTTCATTGGCCGAACCGTCCAACAGCCGGATCATTGCATCTGCAAGGTTAGCTGGCATATAATAATTTCGGTCGCTTCGCAGCCCATGCTTTTTGGACAACAGGAGCTGTCGTGATCGTTTCGCGTTGCGGGCAGCACGATCAATGCCGCCGGGTGTTTGCTCCGAGTCTCCTGTCCACAAGACCAGGGGTTGCTGTCTCAGCAGGCTGATGACTGCAATTTCCCGGTCAGTACCATATTGCTGGCCTTCATCAATGACCAGGAGGGAGAGCTCTTGCATGAAGCCACCCATTGTGGACCATTGCATGGTAAGATCCTGGGCTACCGTACCCCCGGTGGCTAAAATTAACTGGCACTTATTCAGCATATGCCTTCTTTCTCTCGGGTGTATGTCGAATTTCGTGTGGGAGTAGCTGCTCTTGTTACGTTCTTGGTCCCCCACCAACCTACCTATGCGCCCAAACACCCCCGACGGGGGGTCGAGCCATAGGAGGAGGTCAGCAAAGGATCTAGTACCGGAGTTCTCTTTACAGATGAATAATATTTTGAGACTGTCAGTAACATCGATTTCAATTAAGGCCAGGATGAGGATTGCCATCGATTTCGACTTGCCTGCGCCGAAAAGTCCTTGGATACACAGGTCTAACCAATTGGTGAGCAAAGCCATTGTCACTGCGCAGAGTGTGCCCAAGACATGTCCGTCGAGCTCAGCGGCAAAGGATAGTGCAGTGGAGCGAGTCCATGGGTGAAGTTCACCCTCCACGTGACAAGGGATTAGCACTAGGCGTAGCAACTGGCCGCACAAATGCAAGAAATGGGATCTTTTGTTGCCATCCATTCCTTCAACTGCCGTTTGGACATTATAGATACCTAATCCCAGGTGGTATCTGCACGGGGGGGTTTGTGCGACAGCGGTAACCTCTCTGGTAGGCTTGGTACATCCGAACATCCACATTGTGTGTAGGAAGAAGGTCCCTGGGACCGGGCCTTTCTGCCCCTGAACGCTCGCATCGATGGGATCCAGGCGCTGGCCAGAGGCAACATACCAGTCTTGAAGGGCTACGAACTGTTCTTGCGCAAAAAATTCAATGGCTGGTCCTGAGAGAAAGGCTACTTCGATGAATCTGGGGTTGCACTGTCTGTGTATGCGGGAGGCAGGCAGCTCATCCTTGCTTTTGGATGTGCGTGGCGTGATGGCTAGGACCAACCCAAAAAGGATTTGAAGGTCTCTTCCGTCATCGGCTGGAGCATCTGCGGTGCCTACCATTGCGACAAGCCTACCCGTGCCGATGGGGCTAACTTTGTGATGGTGTGCATCACTGGCTAGGAGGCTGAAGACTTCAGTTTTGCCAAGGCTTGGATGTCGGAACGCAAATGCATCTTGTCCGCCTTTGACTTTCCAGTGTCCAAATTCGCTGCCCTTGAAGAGGAATTCGAAAGTAATTGGTTGCCATGGTTGACGGATAGGTCCTGCACTTTGCATTGTTAACCCTGTTTCATTATAGCCTTCGTTGGGGCTGAGCATGGGTAAATAGTAGTCTAACATGTAGACAGCCATGGGCAATTGCAGGGTGCCAAGGAAATGTTGAACCATGGTGGTATAGTTGAGCAATTTGGTCCTTGACGCGATGGTGACAGTTGCCAACGAGGCTAAATATTGGCTTGCCTCTTGCTCCGTTTGTGCTGCTGAGTTGTGAACAGCAATGTGGGTGACAAGTGCCTGTGTCGTGGTCTCAGGTAGCTCGCACATTTCGGCTAGTTCGCGCAGGAGTCTTTTGGCTGTTTTTGGGAGCTCGAAGCTACACCATGAGATCAGGCGGAGGGGAGCCTGTGAGTATACCTCAAAGGGGGGGAGCACTCCTGGGGTACCCTCTAACTGCGCCATGTCTGGTCGTCCCTCTGGGAGGGCAACTCGTGTCCAGTGCGAGTAGCTGTGTTGTGCAGTGCCTAGGTATGCTCTCCATCCTGTGATGTGCGTGATTGCAAAGCCCTGAGCAGTTTAATGTCTTGGTTCGACGGGTTCCACACGCAAAGCCGGTCATCTGCATGGTGAATGAGGTGTATCTGTCGAATCTGAGACAGGCTGTGTGCCGTCAGTAGCGATGGTGGCAGGGCAATGGCTACTAGCACGGTTTTACCTTCAATGTCTGGGAATTCCGAGAGGATGGTCTCCCATACCATTCCTGCATACGAGCCAGCGCTGTGTCCTCGAATGAAAAGAGAACCTACCATGTATCCTGTTAATCTCAGATAATCTGCTGGGCGGATGTCAGGAGGCAGGCATACTCCGACCAACGGATGTGCAACTAATAACTTAGTAAAAAGTCGCAGGCCATGCGTGTACCCTGGCCACGGTGGTTTCCTATGCGCTGGGGTAATGGGACAGAAGCACAGCAGTTTCATGGCTCGACTGATGATCTGTGCCTGCAGTTGGTCAGCACTGGGCACTCCTAAGACACGGCACCAGGTGTGCGCACCAATGGGAAACATGGCTATGTGCAGCAGCAAGTATTCTTGTGTGTGGGCAGTGCCTGCAATTGTGCCAGCCCTTGCATTCCAATCGTCTTGTTTGCTGAGGGATGGCCCATACACATGCGCTTCCTTTTTGCATTCCAATCGTCTTGTTTGCTGAGGGATGGCCCATACACATGCGCTTCCTTTTTGCACGCTAGCAGTACATCCCATTCTTCATCGAGTTCTCCTCCACCCAACCCAGTGCACTGAACGTCCAGGGACCCTGGGTCAGCGTCATGGTGAGACCATTGAGGTGCGTCATGGTTGATTTCTACTGAGTCTCGTTTCATGTCATATTCTTTGAGCATGTCGTCTAATTCTTGCTGGCTTGCGGCTCGATGAATACAACATGTCTGACGGCACCATCAATGTGCAATGGCCATCCTACGGGCATGTGGGAGTCTTCAAGGAGTCCATCTCCATTCTGCTCGATAATTGTGCCCAGCATAGGGACATCAATTGTTGCCTTCAGGCTGACCTGTGCGCGCTTGCACTTCCACGTGTCAGGTGCTAAGAGTCATCAAGAAGAAGCTGTCCTTTCGAGTGGAAGCTAGGACTGAGGATGCATCCTCGGCGCTATCTTCCAAGTTGCAGGCGCTCCGCTTGAGCTTTGTTGGGCGGCTGGTTGTGGTGCCTTGCGGTCAGCCCGCATCTGTGGCGAAGTCCTCCAACTTTTTCCAGAACCTTGGATTTGACTTGTACGTTGTCCCGGTCACCAAGCAGGAATCAGAAGACTTCGCGATTCGGAGCCCTTTGTTGGTGCCTGCATGGCTGGTCAGGGCCACTGCCAAGCAAGCATGGATTTCCAGACTGAGGACATTGTGATCCACGCCCCTTTTCAAAATGGAGAAAAGGTCGCGATTGACATCTCCTACCCGTTCCTCATCTTCAAGACATCTCCGGACCAAGCCACCAAGATCAAAACTGTCGACAGGGATGGTGAAGAACATCAATGGCTAGGTTTTGAGTTGACTCGGCCGCCAGGAGGAGGCAGGAGAAGCCGAGCAGAGAGCATTGCACAAAGCAGCAAAGGATGCAAAGCAAAAGTTGAAAAAACAACGAGAAAGTGCATATGAGGACGACGGCTTTGAAGATCCCGTCACTACGACACGGACAACCAGATCCAACTTCCAAGCGCATTCCTCAAACACATCTTGCGCTGACCGGCAGAAGAAAGTGAGAGGGGATACCTGAGTTGTCCCGTTTTTGTGACCTTGTCACCGTCAGGACATTCCTTAGGTACTGGTCTGTGATTAAATCAATCAGAAGAATTTGTTTCTGATAATAATGATGTCAATCTAGGATACCTTGCTATTGGCACCCCCAACCCCAAATTACACATGGTCAACTAGATACCCGCAAGGCTGCATACGGATCAGAAGATCACAAGCGCCAAGGTGTTACTGGGTTATCGTAAAAGTACTTTTGATTCACTGACCAGATAGATAGATGGATGGATGGAAACATAGATAGATAGATAGATAGATAGATAGATAGGTAGGTAGGTAGGTAGGTAGGTAGATAGATAGATAGATAGAAATATATATGTATATATATATATGTATATTATGTATATATATATATTTACATCTGTATATGACCATTTGTCAAAAATAGTTGTTTAGAAGTTAGTATTGGTTGTTGATAATTCATCTGGGTCTACTGTTTTTTCCTCTTCGTTATGAGGCGGCACGCAGCTAAATTCAGCAATTCTGCAAGGCAGCGCTAGCAAACCCGCTAGGTTTGCGCTAGGTTTGATTGACAGCCATGGCCTCCATGTCGTGAATGTCTTGCCAGCTTTTCTTACAAGTCTGTCAGTTTCCACATATTCCCAAATTTTCGATTTTTTTAACGTATTTTACGCGCTAGATCGCCGCTAGCAACGCGCTAGCGAAAATTGCAAATACATGCCCCGGTCCACCCGCAGCCCATTCAGAGGCACAGCCATGTTCACGCATTGGTAGCTTACAGTGAGGAAACAGCGTTGATCAGGAGGCATGTCAAGAAGCATATTTCATTCAGAGAGGCCCACACACAGAGACACACAGTTCAGGAGAGAGTACCAGCGACAGCGAACGAAAACCGACGTGCGTTAGCCGATTCCTGTGGTTTTAGAAAGATTTCCAAAGGTAACGAAGAATTTCCACGTTTTCACGTCATCAAGGTAGGTCATGTTTTTTAAAGGCAAACATCAGGCGGCACGCATGGAATTGCGATTTATCAACAAAACCGGGAACAGACATTTTGACAAACCGTCATATATATATACAATATATATATAGATTTGTATATATATGTAAATATATATATATATATGAGTGTTGCAAGTGTGATACTTGCTGACGGATGCTGACGGTGTTTTTCAGTTCGCGGTTCCAACTTGCGAACCCTTTTCAATAAGCTTGGACAAGCGTGTGAGTGCCTGCACTCCCAGTCACGTTTGTTGTGGTTTGTCTTCGGACGAACACCTTCAATAAGACTGCTGGGTTTCTTTGGGCAGCTTCGGGCCAGGATTGCTGTGAACGTGGTTAACGTGGTTTGAAAACAATTGCTTAGTGAAGCTAGTTTTGGAAACGAATTTGTAAGGGTTGGGAAATTTATCATCTTACCAGTCTTGTGTTTCCAAAGCTGGGCCATTGAATTTCTCCAGCTCTGGGCGCTGCTGCGCTGCCTGTTGTGACATGTGCGAGCTGCATCTGATGTGCTGAGAAAACATGTTCGCAAACATGTTCGCCGACAATGAGGCTGGCCCATCTCGGGATGCAGGGCATTCCACCCCAAAGGGATTACCCATTCCGGCGTGTAACGGCGTCAAACGCTGGAAAACCAAGGTAAGAGATGGGAACCGTAAAACCAAGCGGATGTCCACGTACCCACCAAACATACAATGATGGAAAAAGGTCTTATTGTGAAACTTTGTCGTTTTTGGATGGGACGCCGTGACATCTGTGTTCTCTATCAGTGTATGGCTTATTGCATGGTATTGTGCAGTTGGTACATTTTTGGCTGCGCCGATGAGCTTAGCCACGAGATTGGCTATCCGGAGATGGATTCGTTGCGGTTTGGCAAGGTATTCTGCGTTTTTGCGGTTTTAATGAGCTTAGCTGGAAGAAGTGCTTTTCTGGGATGCATTCATCTTTATTCTGCATGGTATTTTGCGTTTTGGCTACGCCGATGAGCTTAGCTGAGAAATATGGTGTGGCGGACAGAGCCAGATCGCTGCTTTTGTCGAGTGTCAAGTCCTGCGGCGACGAAAAGATAGACCGAGGGCTGATGCAGGCCACAGCCAAGGAGCTTGGACAAGGCATAATAAAGGGGCCGAGGGGGCGCCCACCTCGGTTCCTTCAGGCGCCACTCTCACACGACGCTTTGGAGTGCTGCAGAAAGAGAAGGTCAGACCAATAAATTTCTACAAGGCGAGCCTTGTCAGCTCAGCTGTCACACAGGTTGACAAGTTCCAACTGTAACGCTCCATGGAGTTGACCACATAGCATGCTTGAGTTCAGCGATGCTGGAAGGAGCTCGGGCCACCCACAAGGCGCTTCAATTGGTCGCCAAGTGTTGGGACTTAGCATCGGCCTACAAGCAAGTGCCTCTGTCAGGACAAGCCTATGAGATGGACTCCTACATAGTTGTCTACAACCCAGACACAGGGAAACCAGAAATATACCAACGGGCTGTTTTACCTTTTGGCCCCATAGCTTCCGTGACAGCTCTCTTGAGATGTGCGATGGGCATTTTGCACATAGGCAGTGCAGTGCTGAAGTTGACCTGGACGTCGTACTTTGACGACTTTTTGAGCTTCACCCATCAGAGCCTGGACAGGCATACTGACCTTTGCATTTCCACCCTCTTCAATTTGCTGGGCTGGCGTTTGTCAACTGACAAATTAGCGCCTTACGACCAGTGCTGCGAGGTTCTGGGAGTACAACTGGATTTACAGCGCAGTGTGCTTGGGTCCTTTCGAAGTTAAGAACACCCAGAGTCGCAAAATTAAATTCGTAGACTTCCTGCAAGATTGCATCTCCAAAGAAAGCCTGAGCAGGAGTGATGGCGAAAGGTTGAGGAGGTTGCAGTTTGCGTCCAACCAACTCTTCCGCAGGCGATTCAGGAACTGCCTCAGAGGAGACCTTAATTGCATGTTTCCAGCGGCTTCAAAACCCTCACAGATGAACTCGTTTCCTCTTTTAAGCTGATTGAACTGCTGGAAGCCAACATCCCAAGACCGGTAAACGCCGTTTCAGAGACTGGATTCATGTTTATGTGGACGCATCCTTTGAGCCAGGTGGCTACTCTGGGATCAGGGGTGTTGCGTATGACAAAAATGGCAAAGATTCACCCCAACCCCCTGCGGCTCATCAAGCGTGAGAATCAAAAATCAAAAAACAATCATCTTTGAACTGGAAGGGCTTGCCATTGTGGCAGCACTGCAAGTCTTTGACTCCTTCGTGAAGGGAAGAAGGGTTGTCACATTCACCAACAAGCAAGCTGCACAAACCTGCTTTGTGAAGTGCAAATCCACCAATGCTCACATGAACCCGATCATCAGAGCAGCGTTTTCAGGAATCTTTAGGCTTGGTTGCGTGGATTGAAAGAATTCCTTCACAGTCCAATCCCGCCGATTTCTTCTCCAGAGAAAAGTCTCCAGTTGGCAGGGTTTGACCTTTACTCCAATAGATGCAACCGAGCTCTGGAAATCCTGTTTGAAAGAAAGGAATGGGCCTTCATGAGGGGGAGCGCCCGAGACCCAACAGCTGAGACCTGAATGCCCCCATGGTCAAAAAGAGGGAATGCCAGTGGATGCGCGGATGCTTGTTGAACGTTTGGATGTCATTGAACACTTACATTTGACTGGGCTCATTGACATGTTCAGTTCACATCATGGCAGCAGCATGTTCCTCAAACAATTGAAGAGAAATTAAGATGTAACTCAACGTGTTGATGGAATTGAAATTTCTAATAGTTGTGGGATTGTTTTGGCAGGTGCCTAAACAATAGAACGTGCATCGCTGTTTTTCAAACATGTCAATGTACACCGTTGTTTAAGGTTCAAGTGAACCCAATTTCGCAGTCAAATCTTGCAAAATTTTTATGCGACCCAAAGTTCCCCTTTCAGGTCACTTTTCCAACCCCTCACAAATCCAAGTGGATGAGAATACCAGCATGTGCTGTACACAACAATTTCTTTGAATTTAATCATGACACAACAGCTGAGATCTCAAAAAGAGGGAGCGCCAGTGGATGCGTGGATGCTTGTTGAACGTTTGGTTTTCATTGAACACTTACACTTGACTGCGCCATTGACATGTTCAGTTCACATCATGGCAGCAGCATGTCCGTCAAACAAGAAAAATTAAGTCTTCCAACATTTTGGTGTTTTGGACATAGAGGCCAGTGTCAGTTTTTTGAATCTCTGTGTGTGTTCAAATTGAACTCAAGTTGTATTGAACATTTGTTGGTTATGTTTGTGTTTGATTTCCCACTGCACCGTTTTGTTTGTTTGTCTTGGTTGCACCGAACGCCACTTGTTGTGGGCAACCTTGGGACATTTGTCGCACGGAGCATATGAAATACGGCTCGAGGGATGAGTTTCAATCGCTTATATAGGTGGTGGTACGTGCACATATGTGACACCGTCCTAACACAAGTGAATTCAAACTGGTTCATCAGCATGAACCTTCATCAATCCATCTCTCAATTTTTGAATCTCAAATGACCGAAACGAATTTCATCAGCGAGAGCATCGTAGCCACCAAAATCATGTCAACCTCAAACGTAGACACTAAGAACCAAAAATTGGACTGACCAACAACTCCAAACACATTTTCCAACTAGTATTCATGCAAGGATCAACTTGCATGCATGTCCCAAAAAAACAATGAAAAAACACAATGATCAACATCCAAAAAGACAAGGTCCTCTAAAACCGAAGCCAGACGCGGCCATCCTCAAAACAATGAATTCAATAATTTTCACCGGAACTGTCAAGCAGAGAGATCCTCATCTTTGAAAACCATTCCGGTGCAAACCATGGGGACCACCAGCACGCCGGACCACACCAAAACAAACAAATGTCCACGAGCATGTCAAAACACAATGTTTGGTCACCATCACGTGGACAAATACATTGATTTGTGGACAATGACACTATTTGCCCGCAGCAATTTCAGTTCACCAGGATTCTCAATTAGTTAGTTTTCTTTTTATTTTTGCGCAAAGTTCAGCTGGGACCTCAATTTGTGTTTGAACAGTTGTTTTGAGTTCAGAAAACTGTACCACATTGTCTAGTTTGTTTCTTCCATTTTCGCCGATGAACATTGGGAGGTTTTCACTCACTCTGAGCAGAAGCGGAGTGTGGCACAAAGGCCAGACTGGAACCCATTTCATTTTTTGTATAGATAAGTGACACAAAATGAAAACAAAGGCAATGAATGGAAACGAACACCGTGCAAAAAATTGGGTTTGTGAAACTGAAGTAACTGCATGTTACGCTATTTCATCCAGGTTGCAATGCCTCCAGGCGGTGGTGGCGGAGGCAACAATTGATTGTCGTTCGAACTTTGGACTTAACGTCAAAATCAAATTGTGGAAATGTGTTGGTGATTCCAAAAATGGAGCCGTGCAAGGTGGTAAAAGAGGGCGTGGTGGCAACTCGAAGGCCTGGAAACGTGCTCCATTTTGTGTGTTGGACACATGCGAACGGAGGGATTGCATGGGTGTTTGGATTTTGTGATGAGTCTATTCTTGCATCGTAATATCATTGGGCACATTCTGTTTTTGGACTCTTGTTTCTTTCTACCACCCTCGCATTGCTTTTATGAATGTCTATTTTGGACTTGACTTTGACGAGATCCGACCAATTGCAACTGCTCTGCCAGGGTGGCCAGGAGGACTGCCTTCAGTATCTCTTTCACCCCCCTGGATTCAGTGGAAAGCGATACCATTTATATTTCGAATTGTTTAGAGAATTTGTGAGCAGTTCGAAATGTTGTTCAGATTTTACATGTCCAGCTGAAGATGAAATCGGCAATGTTTGCTTTGCAAGTTGAAGAGCGAACTGCTCTGTTGTCACTTCTTTGTCACCTCTTGAATCTCCTGCTAGGGGAAACGCTCTGGTGGCCGTGGAGCCTCAGACAAGGCATGTGATGATCAGTGCTGGGCGCATCCCAAAACAAAATTGAACAAAATTCTTCAAATTCTTCAGAACATTTCAGAACAGAATCTGCCAGCTCGAAGGATGCGCAAAGTACAAGAAGTGCCGATGACTCCAATGGAGAGGCGAGGCAGTGCCTTGAAATGAGGGACTGAAAGCAGACAAACTGCGCATGTGATCAGTAATATGATTGTTGAGGTGCATGCTTTGCATTTTGACACAGGAGAGTCAGTAAAGCCTTTCATCGTCATGTATGTATACTTGCAAATGTATACAGTATACAGTATACATATTTGGTTTTGTTTCCATCTGACATGATTTGCAGCATCAACTTGCTCAAAAAAAGGTGCTGTTTGGATATGTTTGCTATCTGGGACTTCACATTTGCACTTGGGCCAAATCGCCAAAATAAGTCATTGTCCATGCCACTGTGAATGGGAAAGGAACATTTCACCGTCAGACTGCCATGCACTGCCATGCTATATAGTAGTTAACCGTATTAACCGTGAGGAGCCGAGCCGAGATGCTTGGAGAGTTTGAATTTGATGGAAATTCAGGAAGAGGCTGTTGAAATCTGCAAGCTGCACCCTGATGTCATTGAATGGTGCCCGTGCAACGGCCTCGAAGATTGGCTCGCTTGGGGCACGTGTTCAGTCTGTCATCAAGGACGTTTTGAGTATTTTTGATTCAACAAAATTTGAATACCAGGGCTGCCTTGAGGGTTAAGGCCTTCAGGGTCCATTCAAGACATGCTGTATCCTATGGTCCGCTCTGATTTTCAACAAACAGGGTGTGGCTTCTGTTGGCAAAGCTTTGCTGTGGAACTCTGTGGGGCTGATATGCATATCTATGTGATTTGGTGTGGGTGTCAGTGATAATTGTGTGATCGATCTATCTGTATATATGGTCCAGCGTTCCAACCCCCCCCCCATGGTCATGGGTCAGCCATAGTACTGTCCCCCTCCCCCCTGTAACCTACTTTTGGGGACGTGTCTACACAATGCATTACAGTTTGCATCACATGTGACATGTTCACTTTAATTCATACATGTACCACTGCGCCACTCCGTGGCTCAAGACTTGCTAGCATAGCTACAAAAAGAGTGCTGCGTGCCGCCGGTTGACCACAAGTGTTACAACTCTGTTGGGATCTAGGGCCCCCGGAAAACCGGGGATTGCTACTTCAAAGTGGTAGCGGAGCACTGTGCCCTGCCAAGATCCGATATTCGGACAGCAGTTGCTTCTTGCGCACCCGCCCCGGTATCCGGACTTGCAAGGGCAATTTGTGGGACAACTCCGAGTAGCTGCCATGGTCTTAACCCATAACATGGACTCAGACGAAGAACGCCCGAAAAACCAGAAATTGCCCAAGCCGAAGAAAGCTGGAGTTATGACTATGACACCTAGTGGACAGAGATGACTGGCCAACATGGGAATCCCATTACGGATATGATGGAGATTACTCCCAAGGTGATAGGTACAATTGGTCTTATTTTGCTAGGTGTCGGCCCAAAAGCCCCTTCCAGCGGTACACCTGTTCCTACTGATGCTTGGGTGGGGAGATTGACTCAGGGTCTTGTTTTCCCCTCTGAGCAGCTTTCCACCGTCGTTGCTGCAATGGATCTGAAGTTGGAAACAGATGTCATTCGCTCCATTGAAGGAGCAACAATGTCTTTGATGTGCGAAGTAGCCTACAAAATTCCAGGGGCCACAGTGTGTCAATCGACAATCAGCCATGTTTCCTTTTTCACATCCGTGGACATTGACCCATCCAAAGGATCAGCCATCATGTTGAATTTCCAGAAGCGAGTCATTGCTGGAAAGATATGGATCGAACCAACAGAAAAGTCAGTGTTCTTCCAACGTTTGAACCCTGACATCACAGACCGTTTGACAAACATTGAAACATGTGCAGGTATTGGTGCCATGGGCAAGGGATTCCATGAATGTGGAGTGCAAACCGTGTGCTACAATGATTTCAATCTTAATTTCTGTAACTGGCTTCGGGCTAAGACTTCAGTTCCTGTGGTTGAAGGAAACGTGAAATCCCCTAGCACTATTTTGCCATTCACTGCAAAGCGCCAAATGCACATATGCTTACGGGTGGGGTAGCATGCCAACCGTTCTCAGCATTGGGCGACCGTCGTGAAGAACATGATCAGCGAAGTGAGTCCTTTACAGGAACGTTGGAACTTGGGTTTTTCCTGAAGGTGACATTGATCTTTTTGGAATGTACGAAGGAAGCTTTTCATTCACAGTGGGCGCAAGAGGTTCTCAACAAGTTTTGTTTGCTCACAGGTTACATGTGCCAACAGGACATTTACCACCTCCACCAACTGTGGCCTTGGATGCGCACAAGATGGTGGGCAGTGTTGCACCATCCTAGCATCCAGGTTATGAACATTCCCAAGGTCCCATCCATGAAGTTTGAGCCGAGTATCATTCATTTGATCCCAGGTCTTTTAGATTTGAAACCTGAACAGATTGCACAGTTGGAACTTAGCATTCATGAAATTGCCATGTTCAATGCCCAGCCAAGAGGATTGTTAGGGAGTCTCATTGATCTTTTCAAACCGATGCCAACCGCAACTCATTCATGGGGCAGTCAGTGTGGTCCATGCGCTTGTGGTTGCAGGGCAGAAGGGTTTTGTACAGCACGAATCCGTCACAAAGGACTGTATGGTGTTTTGGCACCAACAGGTGGAAGTGTGCTATCAAATCAAGTCAAATTCATGGCCATGAGGCACCTTCACCCTCAAGAAGTAGCATTATTATGCGGTCTTTTTCCAAGTCATGTGACACCTTCAAGTGATTTCCCATTGAAACTTGAGTTGGCAGGTGTTGGTCAGTTGGCGTCTCCGATCCAAGCAACATGGCTGTGTGCAAATGTTCTACATCAAATGGGGCTTCAGGGAATTTTACCACTTCAACCAACCCCCCATCAACAATTGTGGAAACTGCTGAAAGGGTTGATTCATGATCGAAACCTTTGGTGGAATTGTGCTTCCCCGTCTTTGTCAATGAGGATTTTCGAACAAAGTCTGGCTGAGATGTTTGGGGATGATTTTGAAGAATCAGAGTCACCTGGAGTTTTCACACAGGACATTGCATGCATGTACAACATTTCCGACCATCATGCCGAAGGTGCCACAGGAGAAACAGCACCTACCATGAGTCATCGGCAAGATGACAGCCAGACATCACCTTCCGACCCTGCCAGGTACCACATCCGTGCATCCGAGCATCCGCCAAAGCCAGAGCATGTGCATGTACATAGCGTAGCAGCCGGATTTTCTGCCAATGAAGCTCGCATAGCCACAGGAGAATTGGCCAAGAGTGCAACAGATTCAGCCCAAACAAAAGCCTGCGTTATGTCCGGCCAAGCCATGCCATTCCGTGATTCCTGTCAAGACATGCCAGCAAAGCCGTTTGGAAATGCAGCCAAGCATCCGTCCAATGTTGTGCCAGTGACAGCCGGTGACAAAGGTTCAATCAACATCGACCAGAACAGTGACAACCGAAATGTCACTCCCTCCTATGTCCCTTTTCATGCCATGCCCCATCTGCCTTCAGATGTGGGCCCCCCCCGATCCTTTTCCAGTGCAACAGCATCCCAAGGAAAAGACACAGGAAAGAGACGCAAGATTGAGCAGGTGAACACCATGGCCAGTTATTCAGCTGAGGGAGGTGTCAGTAGTTTTGCAGCAGCTCCAACCAAAACCATCAAGGGTCAAGCCAACACTCTCTCCGAGCCCAGACAAGCGGAGCAAGTCCAGGCGACAGAAATTGATGAAGTTGAGGAACCTGCTCCAGAGAAGTCAAGTAGCTCTTCACATTTCATTGTAAGAGTAGGGCGTTTTGGAGAAGCTTTGCATCAGGTCAAGGTCACTCAAGGTACTACAGTTGGCCAACTGACACTTGCGGAGGGAAGCATGATCAATCCCAATGCAACATGGAGACCAACAGATGCCATGGGCCAAGGAGTCCCAATCTCAAGTGAGCTCCAGAAGGACCAAATCATTTTCATCAGTGACATCACAAAACCAAAGCCAGTCAGCATTTTCACAGAGAGTCAATATGCATCAGGGTGCAAAGATGTCGCCGATCGAATCACGATCCTTTGGAATCAACAAGGTTGGGTGGCCACAGATGAGATGGCCTTCTACTTGACCAAGCTTCACGAGTGGGGGCCGCCAACTTCACCACCTTTGCAAGCCACCAGCATGGAAGACCTGAACTCATGCCTAGGAGAATGGATAATGTCCGTCTTAGAAGAAGCATGCCAAGCTCAGAAGAAGAAAAGCAGACGAACAGCCGTTCTTGTCAATCAGCATTGGACTCCAGTCATGGTTGAAGCCGGGCCGAATGAAATTCACATCCATACAACCAAATATGGTGAAACGATGTTCCAAAGTTTGCCTGACCTGATGTCTTTTGAGGACTTATCATGGCACACTGACACAGTGAAGTCACATTTCCCATATGATTGCGGATTCCAGGCCTTTGCATGGTTACAGGGTTATGCAACAGGAGGCATAGCCATGCCCATGTCAATCATCCAAGCCATTGCCATGCGCGAAGAATTCGAGCTCCACTGCCTTGCCAAGCCATCTGCACAGCCGTTTGAGTTAGGAGGAGTGCTCGATGAGAAACTTTTCAAGCAATTGCAGGCACTGTTGGAGACACATGGTGTCGCCACTACAAGATCACATGCAGCCGCATCCAACTTGGTCTCAGTTTTAGGGAACCAAAGCGTGACCAATGCATTGAATGCCCCACGTCCGTGGAAAGACCTCAAGATGAAGGCAAGCATGCAAAAACCTCCACTGCAGATTGTGCTGACCGAAGAACTCCAAGCCGCAGTCACCAGCAGAGCACAAAATGGACAGGCCATCGGAAAAAGGAACAACAAAAAGATGTCAAACAAGCAGAAACCCCCTTTGGTCTTGCCAGCAGATAAGATCATGATCCCAAATGCAATTTTCCAACAAGATGATGGGATGAAGATTAATCAACTGACAATCCATCAGATTCATGGGAATGCCAAAGGAGTAGTGGTGGTAAATGTCAACGATGCCCTCCCATTTTTCCAGCTCAATGACCCAGTCAGCACCGAAGGCATAGCACTGCTCATCCTAGATCACCATGATCTGAGAATTCCAGAGGCCAAGCAGATCGTCAAGTTCCCGGCACATTTCAGCGACACAGAGGAGCCCATTTTGGTCACAGCTGCAATGCTCCAAATAGGGGCAAAGCAGGTCCAAAGGCACAAACCTGATACCTGCGTCACTATCGATGAAGTCCCGACACAAGTGGTCCGGATTTTGGCTTACCATGACCAAATCAAGATTGATTGGGCAACGTTGATTGAAGGCCCCATCAAAGCGTTGTTAGCCCAAGATGTCATGTCGTTCTTGAGTCATGACAAGATACTGGATATCCGGGACCGTCAATTTTTGGACAGCAATTTCCGCAAGACAGTGGCCAAAGATGCATATGTTTTTGCAGCCACCATTCGCCTTCACCAAGACGCAGCATCCGAACTCTTGTCTCTGAGCGGGAAAGATGGGATGTACAGTGAGCCAAGGACAGACAACGGAAGAGCTCCCGATCCTGCTTTCCGTGTGATCTGGCTCCCCAGGAAAA